CCCGCATGCGTACTATAATTGTCCGTTCCTGTAGCCACCGCTTGAGGTCTTACTTGGTGCAGTGATTGCTCATTAATTGCCACAGCGTTCTTGTCCGCATTCTCAGTGACATTTTCAATTACCTACTATTGGAAATTTGCGTCAAAGATCTAGATCGCTTTTGTTGTTAGAATCTTTTGCATTTCATGAATGTATGACCTATATACAAGGACCTTGTAGCTGAAAGTACACAGGAAGTTTAGAAGGAAGCAAGTTGAGGCCATAAAATGCCCTACTATCGACTAAGCCGATCCATAATCCGCATGGTCAAATCAGTCTTCCGACCTCTGCGTTATCCACCCTAGTCCCTTCCATAGCAAGGGTAATTGCCTAAATCAAACGTCGGTGGCATCTCAAGTCGAAAACCGTAATTTAGAGAAAGTAGGCCAAAATTTAAAAAAGATACACTTCCCCCTTTTCTATTTTTTAAACAAATTATTCACGCTTTCAGGTCTCATTGTGACTTTGAAGTTGCCGCTGTGGGTGTGGTACCTTGCTGCAATACCGCCTGGTCTCACCGGTCACGGATTTTGTGGTTTCCTTACTTTGGTAAGCTCTAGTTCATCTCTTACTAAGCTGTAGTTTTTGCACTGATTAGCACGCCGCTCGATCACATCGATACCCTATGCGTGATAGTATGTTAAGTCCCGATCACATCAGCATTGCCGACCAACTTTTTAATTAATGAGAGAAATTGCTATTCATTTACCGCGTCCACCTTCCTGTAATCATGGATTATTATATAAATTCAATAACTTTTTCTTCGGAACGGTGCGCCGAATTGAAATATCTCAGTTGCACTTTGCGGGAAGATGTATTCAGGTTAGACTCGATAATCCAATTATGAAGTAGTTTTGCTTTCCTGGGGTTTTCAACTTACATCGAAGTAGGCAGGATATTTCCCTTCGTGTCCGTGCGAAAAGGCAACTTCTAGATCATGAAATAATCCAACTGCACTTAACTGCTTAGTCATCATTCATTGACCGACAGTTTGAGCCCCGCAGGCCAAGACATCTACCACGTACTCCATGGCGTGGATGCAGCACCGGCGATTAACGCATGAATTGATGAATTAATTAAATTATCGAGGCAGACTCGCACAGCGTCTGCGCGTTTCCTCCTCCCTCTCTCTCCCCCACCCATTTGCGCCGATGGAAGGCAATAACAAGACGCACGGAGTGACGGACAAGGTTAAACAAGCACTCTACGTGTGGCACACAAGATCTAATCCCCCACAACACGTGCCTTCCTTTTCTGTTAGGGTTACTTTGATCTGTCATCGGCGAGAGTGCCACAAAATCCACATTAAGAAATCACCAGCCGATAACAAACGGGAAGAATATTCATAAAAACGCGTAAAAACTGCCGAAAATTTTATTTTTTCTTTTCATTAAATTTCTTTATTCTAAATGACACATATCAAGAAACTACCTCTGACTGTTTATGGATTTGGAGGTGAATGTCTCCATATGCATCTGCCCAACTTGTATTAGTAGACAGCGGGTGGTGGTCCCTATTTATTGAGTAGTGGGCAATTTCCAACTTGATGTACTGTCTCCACGACGTATGAGCTTGTTATTTAAATGGCCGTTTGACTAGACTGGCGTCCCCCTACTACTTACGGTATTACCGCTGCGTAATCCACGATCGCCTCCTTTTAAAACTAATAGCCTGCTACCAATTACATATCTAAACTTCATGGAAGACCGACCCTCTGCCAGTGAACTAAATGGGCTAGTTCATAGGTCAGCTGACGATCAGGCACTGTCTTTCCGGGGCTTGCAACAGACAGGATACTGGATGCATCCTCGATCCAACATCATCACAATGTATCCTCCTATCCTGTAAAAGCAAACTGGAGACCGCGCCGGATGCTTATTCTGCACAGAATCGTTAAAGCGCAATCAAATTAAACACAGTGCACGTCGACCGCCAGTCAGAAGAGGGTGCCAGTGAGGAGTCCGTAAAAACGCACACCAATATAACCGGTGGGAAATTGAATAGGTAGACTGACTGACGCGGTGCCTTACCGGTTTTGCTAATGCGACATTCACGCAAGCCACTGTTAACACAAGGTATGTCTCCCGTTGCGTGGATGACAGCTACGAAACAGTATTCTGAGCCCAAACTAGGATCTAAAGATTCCTGTCTGCATAGTCTTTGTGTTTAATGAATAAAAATAGCTGAAACATTTGTCATCTGCAAGCCTACATTCCATCGTATTTGAGTGAACTTGCAAATATGTCCTCTGGTAATCCGTCTAGCTGGTTCATTCCAGAGATCGTGATTTGCATGTTCAGGCAGTTCCAGATTTAGTCAATCCTTCATAAGTCAAGAGGAGTTAATTTCTTCCACTTTTAGGCTTATACTGGGACATCGATGCAAGCCGCCAAATATGCCTTTCTAAGCTACAATCCTGCGTTTGAATCCGGTGGGTATTACTCAGACCTTGCCACTGTTGCGTCGTGAGGGTTGTTCGCTGAGGTCGATCGCCCTCGAAACCACTTAGGGTCTTCCTTACTACGGAATAACTGAGAAACCTCAAGTAGATTCCACGAGGCCTGCTTTGGGAGGGGGGGGGTCATTTAGTCCCCTGTCACAACAGCAAACTCTACCCTCACCTTCTTCACTGAACAGCTGTAGGCACACATTGTAGAGTAGAGCGCAAATCGACCTTTCCAAAACTGCAGAGCAAAATTTAGTATTTCCCTAGTGAAGCCTTCTGAGCAATTCTCCTAGTTGAGGGATCTCAGATTGAGTTGCTAGCCAATTTAGATTAAAAATAGTAGCAAGCGCATGAGCTGCGGTAGACCTAGCTTCAGCCTCATCAGTCGCCACGCCCACGTCCATTTCCAGTCGGTCAGACTTTGCCCTGACACAGAAAAGTATGATGGGCGTTGGCAATGAGAGTAAAGTGGGCGCTGCGAGGTTAATCTTTACTAGAATCGAATGCAAACACAAGCCACCTCTTCAGTTATTGATTGCCTTCATCTATCTTAATAGAGACGAACTTTCGTTTGAAGGCCAGCTGATTGATAAAAAAATTCGCAGTTTTTTTCCATATTTTGTCAGAAGTTAGCTTTGATTTTTTAAGTCACTCTTCAATTATATAATTTCTTCATTCAATTCTTCTTTATGCCCGTTCAAATTCAGGCCCTTACCATGATCTCCGATCTGGCTGCCGGTCAAGTAGAAAAACAGAATGCGTCCTCCGATCCCAGTTTGTCTCAGTTGGATTTGGGCGAATCCGAGCCGTCGTCCGAAACTCCGGTTGTGTGCCTTTCGGAGGCGGATCCGCCGTCGGCTGAGACGCTGCAGACTCGAACAGAGGACGCGAATACTACTCGACGCCGCCTTATATTATTGGGCGTATTTGATGGATTTGTTGGTTGCATGTTTGCCCTTGCCCAGTACGCTGCCGGTGAGTCTAACCAAGTCGTAAGCTGCTCTGCGAGCTCAATTAACCAGAACAGGTGCATCACCCTCTTCGATTTGGAGGGCTAGGCTTATTTATAATGTCGGTTCTTAGGACTCACTCTACCTTCTAGTAGGAAAAGGCAACAATAAAGTTGGCCGAAGTCCTTAGATATCCCTAGATCCTGCACTCTGTCATATAGGAGCGGTGTCGATAGAGGTTTTATGGTTGGGTCATATCACAGGAAAGAAAAAAATAAATTTAAAATTTGAGCGTGAAAATGCAGAAAATAATAGGAAATAATTATCTAGATATCCAAAAATTTACGTACGATGATTAAAAGGACAAATAAAAGCACTATGAAACAAGAACTGCCTTAAAGTACCTGCAAATAGGCTACACACCACTATCGACTTTATATATCGAAATAAAACCATGAAAGATAGGCTTTTCTTCCATTTTCTAAAACTCACAATTGCTTCTAATGCATTTGGACAGATATTGTAGTACAACAAGCCGAAAAGCAACCGCATGCCGCTTAAAAAATCAAATTGAATTAAAGAATAGACTCACTAATACTATAACTGAAATTAAACTAATAAATCAAACAATACACTAAAACTAACGAGACTAAAAGTAACCGCAGGAAGCTAAATATTTCCCTGTTGGAGGGTGCAGTACTAAGCAGTTATTTAAGTATAGTTTGCTAACACCCATAGGCAAAGTAACAATTACTCTCAGAAAATTCGACCATGTGCCCGTTACGTTATCCGCACCAGTTTGCTAATGCATTATCTTAATATAAGTGGATTGAGTGAAAGATGGTAAAGTATATTCCATTTTGTGTCCCACTTTACTTGAAAGTATTGATATGCCAATCGGACGGAACCGTCATACCACAAGAGTCCATGTCACGCCGCATATTTCTCGGCCTTTTAATTATTAGCTTAGTAAGCAGCGACCTTTTGGGAATGGAATAAGTTCATTGGTTAGTACGAGCTCGTGCAAGCAAGGTCGTTCGGAAATTTCTCTAAATTTTGCCTACTTATTCAGGATTTGCATTTGGTGGGATGAACCGTTATATAGGAAGGGCTAACATGGACTTCTTACTAAAGGAGTTTACTACACATATCTCTTCGAATTGTATCTATTTGACATTTATTTTATGAATAAATACCCTTTGTTACTTCGTGTTCTCCCATATCTATGTATTTAAGTTGACTGCAAGGACATAAATGGCCACTTGCTCGTGATGATTCAGCCTAGCTTTCTTTATTAGGCGAAACCAAGAGAGCGACTTACCATCATGAAACTGCCCACCCCCGAGGAGTTACCTTGCTATTGATACTGGCTTATTTTTCAGATACGAATGGTTTTCCTATAACAGATCATGTGGTAGGTACTCTGAACTAACACAGGGGCTATATGAAGGTAGAGCAGGCGTTAGTCGGGATGCGTACCC